GAGTGACTCCTTCATATGGCAACTGAATTTATACCTCGATGATGTTCATAAAAGCGACGAGAAGTCCAGGCAGGACGTTTATGAGGCATGGATGTCTATAGAGAGTCACACTGATTTTGACTGGTGATAACTTGTTCATCGTGATACGCACTGTTTCTTGGAGCATTAAAACAACATATGTGTGTTTTTGTTATATACAAATGCTGCAGCGAATCACCACATTTATCCCCGATCCAGAAGAAACTAAGAAATTTCCGCTCCGACAATGGTTGTTTTCTTATCCGAGTATGATTTGACGCTCAATATACACGTTCGCGGACTTTTTTACAGACCGAGGTAGTAGAGACAGGCTTAGTGCAGAGGGGCGTAATGCAGCGGGGCGTAATGCAGAGGGGCGTTGTGCAGCGGGGCGTAGTGTAGAGGGGCGTAGTGTAGAGGGGCGTAGTGCAGAGGGGCGTAATGTAGAGGGGCGTAGTGTAGAGGGGCGTACTGCAGAGGGGCGTAGTGTAGAGGGGAGTAGTGTAGAGGGGCGTAGTGTAGAGGGGCGTAGTGTAGAGGGGCGTAGTGCAGAGGGGCGTAGTGTAGAGGTGCGTAGTGTAGAGGGGCGTAGTGTAGAGGGGCGTAGTGCAGAGGGGCGTAGTGTAGAGGTGCGTAGTGTTGAGGTGCGTAGTGGAGAGGTGCGTAGTGTAGAGGAGCGCAGTGTAGACGGGAGTAGTGTAGAGGGGCGTTGTGCAGAGGGGCGTAATGCAGAGGGGCGTAGTGTTAGGGGCGTAGTGTAAAGGTGCGTAGTGTAGAGGGGCGTAGTGTAGAGGGGCGTAGTGCAGAGGGGAGTAGTGTAGAGGAGCACAGTGTAGGCGGGAGTAGTGTAGAGGGGCGTAGTGTAGAGGGGCGTAGTGTAGAGGGGCGTAGTGCAGAGGGGCGAAGTGTAGAGGAGCGCAGTGTAGACGGGAGTAGTGCAGAGGAGCGTACTGCAGAGGGGCGTAGTGTAGAGGGGCGTAGTGTAGAGGGGCGTAGTGTAGACGGGAGTAGTGTAGAGGAGCGTACTGCAGAGGGGCGTAGTGCAGAGGGCGTAGTGTAGAGGGAGCGTACAGCAGAGGGAGCACAGTGTGGGCAGGAGTAGTGTAGAGGGGCGTAGTGTAGAGGGGCGCAGTGTAGACAGGGAGAAGTGTAGGGGCGTAGTGTGGGGGGGCGCAGTGTAGACGGGAGGGTGTAGAGGGGCGTAGTGTGGGGGCGTAGTGCAGAGGGGCGTAGTGTGGAGGGCGCAGTGTAGACGGGGTAGTGTGTAGAGGGGCGTGGTGCAGTGGGCGTAGTGTGAGGGCGTACAGCAGAGGAGCGCAGTGTGGACAGGAGTAGTGTAGGGGCGTAGTGTAGGGGGCGTTGTGCAGAGGGGCGTAGTGTAGAGGCGCAGTGTAGACAGGAGTGGTGTAGAGGGGCGTAGTGTAGAGGGGCGTAGTGCAGAGGGGCGTAGTGTAGAGGAGCGCAGTGTAGACGGGAGTAGTGTAGAGGGGCGTAATGCAGAGGGGCGTAGTGTAGAGGGGCGTAGTGTAGAGGGGCGTAGTGTAGAGGAGCGCAGTGTAGACGGGAGTAGTTTAGAGGGGCGTAGTGTAGAGGGCGTTGTGCAGAGGGGCGTGCGTAGGGTGCAGTGGGCCGTAGTGCAGAGGAGCGTACAGCAGAGGAGCGCAGTGTAGACGGGAGAAGTGTAGAGGGGCGTAGTGTAGAGGGGCGTAGTGCAGAGGGGCGTAGTGTAGAGGAGCGCAGTGTAGACGGGAGTAGTGTAGAGGGGCGTAATGCAGAGGGGCGCAGTGTAGAGGGGCGTAGTGTAGAGGAGCGCAGTGTAGACGGGAGTAGTTTAGAGGGGCGTAGTGTAGAGGGGCGTTGTGCAGAGGGGCGTAGTGCAGAGGGGCGTAGTGTAGAGGGGCGTAGTGTAGAGGGGCGTAGTGTAGAGGGGCGTAGTGTAGAGGGGTGTAGTGTAGAGGGGCGTAGTGTAGAGGGGCGCAGTGTAGAGGGGCGTAGTGCAGACAGGCGCAGTGTAGAGGGGCGCAGTGTAGAGGGCGTAGTGTAGAGGGGCGTAGTGTACAGGGGCGTAGTGTAGAGGGGCGTAATGTAGAGGGGCGTTGTGCAGACAGGCGCAGTGTAGAGGGGCGCAGTGTAGAGGGGCGTAGTGCAGAGGGGCGTAGTGCAACGGATGTAGTGCAAACGGGCGTTGTACAGGAAGGCTTAATGCAAGGGGTGTTGTGCAGATAGGCATTGTACAGGCAGGCATAGTTTAAGGGTGTTGTGCAGATAGGCATTGTACAAGCAGGCATAGTGCAAGGGGTGTTGTGCAGAGAGGCATTGTACAGGCAGGCATAGTGCAAGGGTGTTGTGCAGATAGGCATCGTACAGGCAGGCATAGTGCAAGGGTTGTTGTGCAGATAGGCATTGTAGAGGCAGGCATAGTGCAAGGTGTGTTGTGCAGAGAGGCATTGTACAGGCAGGCATAGTGCAAGGGGTGTTGTGCAGAGAGGCATTGTACAGGCAGGCTTAGTGCAAGGTGTGTTGTGCAGATAGGCATTGTACAGGCAGGCGTAGTGCAAGGGGTGTTGTGCAGAGAGGCATTGTGCAGGCAGGCATAGTGCAAGGGCTGTTGTGTAGAGAGGCATTGTAGAGGCAGGCGTAGTGCAAGGTGTGTTGTGCAGAGGGGCATTGTACAGGCAGGCGTAGTGCAAGGGGTGTTGAGAAAACAGGCGTAGTGCAAACATATGCATAGTGCAGACGCGCGTAGTGCAGATGGGGTTAGTGCAGGCAGGTGTAGTGCAGACAGTTGTAGTGCAGGCAGGTGTAGTGCAGGTAGGTGTAGTGCAGGCAGGTGTAGTGCAGGCAGGTGTAGTGCAGGCAGGTGAAGTGCAGGCAGGTGTAGTGCAGGCAGGTGTAGTGCAGGCAGGTGAAGTGCAGATGGGGTTAGTGCAGGCAGGGTTAGTGCAGACAGTTGAAGTGCAGGCAGGTGTAGTGCAGGTAGGTGTAGTGCAGGCAGGTGTAGTGCAGGCAGGTGTAGTGCAGGCAGGTGTAGTGCAGGCAGGTGAAGTGCAGATGGGGTTAGTGCAGGCAGGGTTAGTGCAGGCAGGTGTAGTGCAGGCAGTTTTCTTATCGAGTGTCGTCGATATAACCAGGATTAAATCTGATTTATTACGTCATCACGTTCACTTGCTTCCCAACTCCTTCACATAGAAACCTCTTGGAGATTTAGAATTGATTGATGGAAAAGGCGGATTGGGTGATCAGGCTTTATTGCATGTCATCGTACCCCGACGGCGTGGAACGTTGTTCGCGTTACCAATCACTGGATTGTCTAGCCCAGACTAGATCATTTACAGGTCGCCGTATATAGCTGGATTATTGCTGGTTGCGGCGGCAAACAATATCCACACACAGAGGGCATACAAGCTGTGCTAACAGTGAAAAATACAGAAAGGTCTTAAAATACAAGCCTTCGTCTTGAAAGCAACCAACGTTGAAAGATGAAATCAGAAAAGACGTTCATGAATAGAAGTCGGTTCATTGTGATGCCAACAACATATATTCCCTACAGTGGTGTATACCAGTATGTTAGACGCACAGCGATATTTAGCAACTATTGATTGCTGATCGATAAGGTAACTATCATAACCCTCGAGCATCGCCAACATGTCATACAATATCGGCAGAGCTATAGGTCGTTGTTTCTATACATCATGAGTCCACTAGTCATGTTCATATGTATAACAGAGCGATTGATGTGAAATCTATAATTATCAACATTACGAAAACATGCACATAAGAGTGTGTTTGAATACAAACAAAGGGACGGGTTTCCCTAAGGGTCTTCATAAAGAAATATGGCAGGCTTTGGCTCGTCGGCTTCCTTGCCTAGGATCTAAGAATCAGTCATTGCACATATACACGTCTGGATATAACAATTCATCTGAGATTTATTAAATATCTCAGATATCATGGATCGTCATTCATCAGATCCATCAATACGAGAGAGGTAATCTCATTGCCTGCTTCTTCGTAGTCTATAACATATGTACAAACAAGGTTATCCAGAGCCAGCAAATGGTTGCGTTAAGCCTTTGCTCAATGTAGTGATAAATTCAAATGGGAATTTGAGATAAGGGAATTATTACATGTATTGTCATTTAGATTTCATTGAAATGATATGCTGCATATTACTGTACAAACAAATATTCTCTAAGGAATCCCAAAAAGATGAATTATTTACGAATTCATCGCATGTTAAAATTAACTTTGTTGTTCTTTCTTTTCTTCTACTCGGTTTTTTATGGTGACAGCACCAGCACAAAGCAGCCATATTCAGTGTCGACCGTGTTTATGCGACACCTCCAGATATATATTTCTGTACTGTACTTATGAAACCGGTCCTGGAAAGAAAGAATATCTCGCATAAAGGATACGAGGATGGCAATATGGATCAATCGTCCTTCACCAGCAATAGAAATAATTCCCTCATATGGTGTACACGTATATAGAGTAATTATTGTTGCCAATAATGTATATCAGTCTGACCGTAATGTTATGCAAATAATATACGGCCTATAGTTATACATCAGTTTGAATGAGTTTCGTGTGACCGTGTTTATGACTTAAGCTGATTAATACCGATGATATGGCCAACACTAGATAACACCAAACCAATGTATGTAGGCACGGGTGGCCATGTTGTCCTATGGTCTAATGACTGAACTCGTTGTGTTCAGAGTCCGAATGCAAGATTCACATACTTGATGAAATAGTGAGTGAGTATGGTTTTACGCCTCTTTTAGCAATTTTCCAGCAATATCAACATCACCAGAAATAGACTTCACAAATTGTACCCATTTTGGAAATCGAACCCGGGTCTTCGGTGTGACGAGCGGACGCTTTAACCACTAGGCTACCCCACCCCCACTTGATGTAATAACATGCAATGAGTGTCCACAGAGTGTTGTAGATGTGATTCAGCTTGTGGTGCTGTGTTGCAGGTATGAACATCTTCCTGGCCTTCTTCGTGCTGCTTCTCCTGTTGGCTGACTACACCCCAAGGGCCGCAGCATCCATACCCCTTATAGGTGAGTCAATCCCTTTACATCCACAGGTACCATTGACAATTATCTCCTACAGACTCCATGGAAGTCCTTTGTCCGCAGCCTGACCATATAGCACCAGTTGTTGATCTCAGAATAGATACGAAAAAGGTTTTTGCTTTAGGTGCCAATGGGCATCTTCCCTTGGGAAAACACACGAGCCAGGTCAAAGAGACTGTTATTTTTTAAGCCTTCTGCTGATGCTGATCGGAGACCCCCACAGTTATGGCGTGTGCTTTACTTATTTGAGTAAATATGTACATAAAATATCGACATAAAGGTGCGTATGTCAATTAAGCCTTCGAAACTGAAAAGGCGCTCGTGTCTGGCTTCCGTGATTCGCCCACCTTGTGCAGCTTCCTGAAGCAACATGGTAAATTAATAGGCCGTTCTTCTGACAGCATGGCTGAGTGCAGTTTAACTCAATGCATTGTTAATGGGGGTCCTTTGTGCAGTTGCTTGGACACGTTTATATTCATTAAGTACCGTGGTCACGAGAGGCCAACACCTAAAACTACTCCTTTTATCCCGAGCTGCGTGTTGTCCCAGAGGTGCGGAACTTATTGTAGCCATAGGCGGTTGACTGCAAGCAAAACTAACGCCCATCAGTTTTTGTTTAGTCGTGCACAACCACACCGTTTAATTAGTCATAATTCATATCTAAATATGAAATGAAAACTTGTTCTTCGTTAGTTGACTACAATATATGGAGGAAACCTTGATGAAACTCGATGGTGATCGATGAATAAGGGTGTGGGTGACGATGGCCTAGTGTGGCAATTCTTGACTATGCCTTCTTCGTAGATTAGTGTGTGTGTGTGTGTGTGTGTGTGTGTGTGTGTGTGTGTGTGTGTGTGTGTGTGTGTGTGTGTGTGTGTGTGTGTGTGTGTGTGTGTGTGTGTGTGTGTGTGTGTGTACATGAGGGTTTCGCAGGTTAATGCGTGGTGTCTGCAGACGGTGTTGTGTAGGTGTGTGTGTGTGCACATGAGGGTTTCGCAGGTTAATGGGCGGTGTCTGCAGAGCGTGTGTGCGAGTGTGAGTGAAACCATGAGGCTGGCGCCGGTTAATGCGTGGTGTCTGTGGGGCGTGTGTTGTGTGTATGTACACATGAGGCTAGCACAGGTTAATGCGTGGTGTCTGTGGGGCGTGTGTTGTGTGTATGTACACATGCGGCTAGCGCAGGTTAATGCGTGGTGTCTGTGGGGCGTGTGTTGTGTGTATGTACACATGAGGCTAGCGCCGGTTAATGCGTGGTGTCTGTGGGGCGTGTGTTGTGTGTATGTACACATGATGCTAGTGCCGGTTAATGCGTGGTGTCTGTGGGGCGTGTGTTGTGTGTATGTACACATGAAGCTAGCACAGGTTAATGCGTGGTGTCTGTGGGGCGTGTGTTGTACAATGTGTGTGTGTACACATGAGGCTAGCGCCGGTTAATGCGTGGTGTCTGTGGGACGTGTGTTGTGTGTATGTACACATGAGGCTAGCGCCGGTTAATGCGTGGTGTCTGTGGGACGTGTGTTGTGTGTATGTACACATGAGGCTAGCGCCGGTTAATGCGTGGTGTCTGTGGGGCGTGTGTTGTGTGTATGTACACATGAGGCTAGCACAGGTTAATGCGTGGTGTCTGTGGGGCATGTGTTGTACAATGTGTGTATGTACACATGAGGCTAGCACAGGTTAATGCGTGGTGTCTGTGGGGCGTGTGTTGTGTGTATGTACACATGAGGCTAGCACAGGTTAATGCGTGGTGTCTGTGGGGCATGTGTTGTGTGTATGTACACATGCATGTGTTGTACAATGTGTGTCTGTGTACATGTGTTGTACAATGTGTGTATGTACACATGAGGGTAGCGCAGGTTAATGACTACAGAGTGTAAGTAAGCACAGTGCGAGATACGTATAGTATCGTGAATACTTGATGGTGCTTTCTTAACAGGTGCTTATGATATAGTCGCACAAAAGAATTTGCATTTAGGAGTGACTCCTTATTATCAATGAAAATATTTGCCCGTTTTTGAAATATGAGTAATATGTACATGTTTTACGCGAAGTCTTGAGTGTTGTGTGTAGATATCTGTGTACGTCAGGAACTGTTGCATGTATGTAAAAGGTAATTCGTGGGCGTTCAGGATGACGTCAGACAAAAGTCCTCATCTTCTGCGACATAGACTGATACATCCTTCCCTTTGATGTTTGGCTCAATCTGCCGTGTCGTTTCTACCTAGACTCTCTACTGGGGCAGTTCCCCTGGGTCTACAGTCATATATTATTCATGATTCGGATAACACAAAACAATATGTTCTTTCAACAATAAGACCATGCAGATATAAATATAGTACCATAGATATGACCCAAAAGGATATTACTTTGTCTTGTCTTGTGATAGAGTGATATGAAATGGGTTTTAGTATATGCGTGTTTGTGTGCGTGTGCGTGCATGTGCGTGCATGTGTGTCCGTATATCTGTGTGTCTCTGTATTGTGTGTGTATAGTACTAGTCATGTGGGTTACAACGGTGTATCAATAAAAATGTCGATAGAGATCATGATTTTATTACCTATAACAATTGACATAGTAATACGTGTATACGATGCGCTACATACATGTATGCGTTCGCTGTGCACATATTTGTCCCTTTGGCGTAACATGATTGTTGGTCATGAAAATGAATACCTGATTTGGGAACATTCCCCTTCAAGTTGACTTCCTCAAGTCGCAAACATTTTCGCCCTGCGCTACGTCGTACTTTCCTTCCAGATTAAGCAGACTCGCAATAAAATTGAAACGCTGTTAAAAAATCTGTTAAATCCTACTCTCTCCCTTACACATTTCATATGTGTTAGTGTGTATCTGTAACCATTTTGAATCTAGATACCGAATACGTCAACTTTAGTGAATGCATTCTAAATGTCAGCGAAGACGTGCGTGTGCTTTATCCAACTAAAGAATTACACATACGATTGTCATGGGTGATAGGGCACATTCAGATATTTAACTAAGGTTCATACTTGATAAATGTTTCTTATGGCGTTCGTTTGTTCTCTTACACACTCTGTGTCCTTTGATGAGGCAATCCACAACAGAATTCCTATAGCAAGGTCTTTTATTTACAAAGACTAATTTATTTGTGCGATTCTCCGCTAACAGGTCACAACGGATGCATCACACACAAAAACACACAAACGCACGCACGCACGCACGCACGCGCGCACACACACACACACCACTACCACCTCTGTAATTCAGTTAAAACCTGATTTATGACCACGGAAGCGGCGTTTGTCAACACCGGTGTGAACTGCGTTTCTTTTCTATTGCCCCTGGAATAGGTAGATAATCGAGACTGGTTGACGTAGTATATTTCCTTGAACCAGATTAATTCGCATGGTCGAAGGCAGCTATGAAGTCCTATTGTCACTGAATGCCGACCAGGAATTCCAGGAAAGCGTTACTGTGTCATTCTGGTCCATCTATTTACATCGTGTTGTTATCCTTTGACCATTACCTTTATAACGTTCTTGTTATCCCTTTATCATTATATTCATACTGTAATGTAAACAAGGTACAGAGCCTCGTGACGCTCTGATGTTACATGTAAGCATCAAGAATGAACGTCTCCCACTTACGACAGTGTCTTTGTAAGTATGCATCTCCATCAAATGCAGCATTGAAAGAATTTTACAAAAGAATACAACATTTCCACTGAGAAATCATATCTGGAGATAGGAAAGTAAACAGTGTGTCGTCTTCACATCTACACGATCTCATCCACTGCCGCAATACTCTTCGCTGCCATTATCAGGTTGGGAATTGGCGTCTGCAATACCCAGGAATACGTCTGACAGGACATCAGAGGTCGTGTCATTTGTAAAAGTCATTCGGTCTTTGTGATTTGTTATCTCTCACATATTTTACATTATATTGAGTTTCTATGTCTCCAGAACGATTTACTATTCTGGCAGGTTATTAGGCCTCATGTCAACTTCAAAAGTCATTTAGTCTTTTTGATTTATTATCTTTTGTTTAATATTATGTTCAATGTCCTCGTCTCCAAAAACTCCTCGAAAATAGTGTTTGTGTATTTTATTCAAGGATTAGTTTCGTAGAATTCCTTGTGATTCACCTTGACGCTATGTATAGCTGCTGGAACATGTGTTGTTTTTTCTCTCTGCGGAATATATTACTACCTTGCTAAAATGTGTTTAAACTTCATGTACACGATAGAAAGGATATATTGCAATGTTGTTTCAAATACAATTGACAACTTACTGTGGGGAAGCTTACGAGGAAATATTTAATTATGCAAATCAAGATATAAAATAATTGATATTTCCCCGTCTTTCTCTTTTACCGAAAATATTTTGCATAATATAGTTAAACTTTATTGTTTTAATCTTCCTTCATGTGAACCGTATTGCCTTCACACATTCCTCAAGAGATATCTGAGTATTCAGCATGGCAAAATTATAGGTGACATTGTGCTTGTGACGGGAATATTCACTTTCCTCCTCGAGATGTTGCAAAGTATGTACAGTGCCTAAATCCAATGGTTATACCTCGATGAGGTGACGTGCGTGTGCCTGTGCCTGTGTGTGTGCCTCTCTGTGTGTGTGTGTGTGTGTGTGTGTGTGTGTTGTATTAAGATAAGGATGTGTTTTGTGAAGAAAAGACTGTGTTGTATAAAGATAAGGATGTGTTTTGTGACGATATGACTGTGTTGTGTCAAGATGAGTCTGTGTTTTGTAAAGATAAGACTGTTGTATTAAGATGAGGATGAGTTTAGGACGATCCAGCTGTGTTTTATGTAGATGAGCATGTTTGGGGTATTGCAGCGTATGTAGGGCAAGAATTATTCCTTGTGAAACTAGTGTTAATGGTGGACAGGGAGGTATATCATGTATGTAGATTGGAAGCAGCTCGGCCACGTACTACGTCTGGGAGAGATACTGACACAGATAGCTAATCTGACCTGACCAATGCCAGCCAAGAAATAAAACGACAGCGCTGAACTAACGGGAGTGGTACGAGGCGCGTGCTGAAGCCCCCCAGGGACCCCCTCACGCGCTGTATATTTCCATATTGATCATATAGCATGGCAAAGACGTAGAAGGAATTAAGTTAGACAATTGCTGGAATTACATTCGCCACATCCATCTATAAAATAGTCATAACTAATTTCAAATTGAATCCATAATGAAGTCAGTATTACTTCACTGTAGGAACAATCACCTCATTGGCTATCCGTGAATAAAGTAATCGTACACGGTTATTACCGAGCTATCGAGTTCCAGTTCTTTTGTTGCACGCATAATGGCCCTTGATTATTGAAAGTAAATCATATTAGAAGCTCTTGGTTCAATACTGATGAATGCACCATAAGTAAACAGTCCAACACCCGTGGCTGTAATCAGTTGTCATTATAAAACTCAATAATATCCAGTGTAATCGTGGGAGTTCACTCATGAAGAGACCCAGGTCGTTGACGCTATAGAGTACGTGCAGCCTGCTATGATGAAGCAATATCCTGATGAACATGTATTAGTAATTGAAAGACACGACCTGAAAAGAGAGCAAAAACCATATGTTCCAAGCTGCAGAACGCTTAATTTGATTAGACTGTGTCCCCTGTGGCATCACTTCGTGCGTTCTGAAAATGCCAACTGTAAGACTGTGGAACTGCTGGTGTCAACAGAAGCCGATGTTGACGAGATATATCGAAGCACTAATATCAGTTGACGCTTAATGATGACAAGATATCAGAAATAACTGATACCGGTAGACGGTCAATAATGACATACTATCCGGTTACCATATACCTATGAAGAATATGGACCATTTTGCACATACAATACTGGCTGTCGGCATGTGTCTACATTGACCATCCGGGCCGAAAATCAGCCATATCAGTCGTCTTTCCGGCTACTAAACTGGTACGGAATGAATACACGAAAACGCTCGTAACTTCAATAAACGGAGCCAAGTGTTACGTCCCTTGCTGAGGTATGTGATAAAAAGGTTATATGACAGTTTCCCTTTCGCTAGTCATATCAGCCCTCGACTACGATATCAGCCCGAGAGCCGATATGACTGGCTAAAGGAAATCTGACAAAATAACCTCTTAATATGTATCAGTAGACGGTCCAAATGACGAGATATCAGGAAGAAATATTATAAGTTGATCATCAATAACGATCAAAAAATATTAGTATGAGTATACGATCCATAATGGCAAGAAACCAAGGAAATCATATTAGTAAATGGTCAAGGTTGACAAGAGTCCAGGAGAAATGGATGTCAGTAGATGGCCAGTGATAATAAAGATATCAGGGAATATTAAGTCTAGGTAGACAGTGAAGATTACCAAAACACCAAGTAGTGTTTGTGTGAGTAGATATGAATTAGTTTCACACGATGGCTTCGACAGACCATCAGAGCGATACAATGAATGGATAACACACGTGTTATGAGATGAACAGCTACAGTGCTTGCTCTTTGTTATCATCATTGATCTATAGGCTCTCGAGGACACAATAACACAAAGTAATATTACCATCTTCTGTGACACATTGTTTTGTTGAATCAATGTACGTCAGTGACTATATATGGCACATATGTCTACGAAACAGAAGAAATCAATACTGAAGCAACATCGTTGGTTTCATTGACATTTGATAGACTTTAGAAGTGATTCATAAGAGAACAGATTCTGTTTTTGCTGCTCAAAGCGCTGCCAGCACACTTTCATGCATAGACAAGTGCTGGGAGGCTGAGTTGTAAAATGGAAACAGTCTTGTATCAAAGATGTCAAATGATGGCGCTGATTGTTCTTCTCGGGACGATTGGGAGAGTATCCCCTTTCTTTGCAACAATTACTTCAAAAGGTCTACACGGAGTCTCTTCGAAGTTTGGTTCGTTCGTTCGTTCGAGCTAGCAAGACTAGACAATGAAATGAACACAAAATAGTGGTAAACAATGAAATGTACATGCAAACTACTCCGCAGAATAGTTATGATGTCAATGAAGGTTATATATAGCTTTAAGACAACACCGTTTCTTAGACATAATGGCGTTTTTCTACACTGTCCACACACATGAAAGCTCATCCAAAGGAGATTAATCATAGTGTATAAACATAACTTTACGATTATTGACGAACTATTCTGAACGTTGCTTGTGTGAAGTAAACACGATGATTCCGTTACACATGCTACAATGGCTTCTGTGGATCCGACTTATAGCTACGCAATATTTATGACGTATCATTTTGAAGTTCTGTGAACTGGAATTAATAAACTGTAACAACTTAACTCTAACCGAATTTGCTTTGTGTGAGGTTTGGGTTGCTTTTATGGTCAGATAGGTGACTTAGATATGCTCATGCCACTTAAATATGGTACGTGACAATGCTCATGAAAACACGCCATCGTATTATGGAGGTTGTGCGAATCAAGTACACTTTGTATTATTTTAACAATAATCCTTCGTAAAGAATTAACATGTTAGTATTTATCATACTTTGAATATATCATTAACTGAAGTGTGTGCATCAGCATTGTTTATGAGATTTCCTTCAACGATAACAAACGATAGACGTGTCTCCGTTACCCTTGAAAATATTCATGGCAGTGTCTAAGTCATTTTGGTGCACATTGTTTTGATTGTCTGCTCTGTCACGTGATTAGAGCACACCGATTTGCGGTAGGAATACTGAGTGGCATCAGGCAAATAACAAACTCCACTCTTTTATGGGTGGGTGTAAGTGTCATGTGCTACCGGTAAGGTAGGACAAGCGATGTCCACAGTTTGCACGAACACTTTGTGTCTTCAGTTTCATTTGCACCCAGTGGAAATTGTTTTGGCAGATAATCGAGACTGGCTATTTTCTGGCGTTGACGTTTTTGTATTACCGGTATATCAGTGGTATCACAGCATGTCAGGTTTATACGAGTCAAATGGGGACGCAGGTGTTGGTAGGAGAAACAAGTCGAGGATGATAATCAGGTTAATCGGGTGTTCGAACCACTGATATCAAAATGCTGGCACGATTAGGTATTGGACTTCAACATTGCATAGTAAATTGTGGCGCGTAGGACGAGTGGTCACCTTTGTTACACGAGTGTTTGCCTTTAGAGATTTTAAATGATATACACGATGACCAAATTTAATCAAAATAATTTATGATGACAAATACTGTTAGTGAACTAGGTGACGATATTACATGTATGTGACGCATCGAGATAACAGCGGATAGCCTTCATACATTAATATTGCACCATGGAATGCAACCTGGGTCTTCGGCGTGACGAGCACCCGCTATAACCACAAGGCTACGCCACTGCCCAAAATTAAACAGAAAATATGTTCGGTGGTATTAGTATATGAATGTCAAATTGTTAACCTCGAGATTATACCCCAAGCCTTACAATCATGAGATTTCACTGGAAGATGTTCCAGAGATGCCTCTCTTGGTTTTCTGAAAGGATGGCCATGTATCGCTTATCGTTTGGGGATGCAAACGAAATAGTAGTAAATGCGTAACAGTATGTATTTCTTTGTATGCTGTCTATCGATTCTGCCGATATGCATGCGTGTCATCGATGTCTTTTCTGTTGCTTTTTGGCATGTCATCGATCTTTGACCATCGGACAGAAAATTGCGATGCATCATGAGACCATAAACCTACAAAGAATCAACCGTTATATCTTCATGTTTTACAGGAGCATACTTCTGTCTGAGCATGGTGATGATCACGTTGTCGACAGTGCTGGCCTGCGTCATCGCCAACATGTTTTTCCGGGGTGTTCGGATCAACAGGGCTCCTCGGTGGCTTCGTTCGGTAAGTGACTGAGTGACATCATGAATGAGTGGGTGAGATGTGGTGCCGATATTAACAACAGTCCAGTATCATTATGGCTGTAGACACCACACATGGGATCTCCAAAATTTTACAATTCGTGGAACCGAACAATTTTTGTTTACGTGAAAAACACATTAACCTCTATGTGTCCTGACCATCGCCTGTTTTAGCTACAAACACTCTGGTGTAGCCCATGCGTACATGTTCTTTTTCATTACTTAAAAATTTTCTCGCCAAAGTGTGATGATATTTCTGCTCTTGAGAATGCCTATTTTTACCTTCGGTTGAATGTGTTTTCTAATTTGATAAAGAATACAGATGAACGTAGTAAAAAAGCATAAGCGAATTTATTTTTTTCTTTCCTTTCATTTCGTCCATATTTCTACAGATCATGAATATGACCGAGATATCACATTTGTACCACCCAAAATATGGCATAAGAAAGATGGTGAGACGAAATGGTGATTAATCGCACATTCTGGAACATTTCACTTATATACCATCCCCAAGAAGCAGAAGATATTCAAACATAGAAGAACATAGAATTATAAACAGGGATCGAGTGATGGTAATAGACTAACTGAGAGAAGGAAGGACAAGGTGTAACATGACAATCAGGAGAACATGCTAGAGGTGCTTTGTGTGGTGCAAACAACCAGGACGGAAGACAAATGTGTGTTGTAGAAATGAAACTTGGAGATAACTTTATCAATAATATTCAAATATTCGTCGATACAGCGAGGTATGGTGGGAAACAGTCTCCCAGGGACGGCTTCTGGGAATCTTTCTCGACCCAGTTTAGCCTTTGGCGTTTACCTACATGGCTCTCAAACATGTCTGACACGTCCTGGTGGTGGTGGTGGTGGAAGGGGGTGGGGTCAGCGCAATGGGTGGTCGTTCCTTACTGTTGATCTTCCGGTGTTGGAGGTAGTCAGCCAGGATAAGTGCAGTGAAGTTCGTTATTGTCCTGAAAAAGTACCATAATAACTTTCCAGCATGGCGCACAAATTGCAAACCATCTGTTGGGGTCAGTATTTTGTCTCCTCCATAAAACCGTTGAGTGACTTTTTTACTGACAATGTGCAGTGGCGGCTTGACTGTCATAGTGACTCCACAGTGAATTCATTACAAACCCATCCCCAAACCAGTCGTGTTGACTTTCGTTGACGCTCGCATGCCGTCCGTTATGATGCTTCCGGACAGGTCAACGCTATCCAGAGTGAATCTAAAAGCGTTACCAGAGACCACCGGCGATTCTCACAGTTTACCCGCTATAAAAGTTGTTGGTACCTGGCTAGAATGTGTCGATTTGCTAAAGTTGCTTCAACACGTAGTCGCCGAGCATTCAGGTCAGATTCATCCTCGGAGGCAGTGTCGACGGTCTTGCGTGAGTGAGTTTGATTGGCTGTTTGAGGTAACTTTTCTGGTTTCAGATAAATCGATCCTGAACTTGTGTTGTTGACCAAGAGCGCCCACTGCGGGGTCTGTGATCAACGGTGTATCTGTGCAGGAGCGTGTACCAAAGTATACTAATCGCAGACTGAGACACATTAAACTTATAGGCTACCTCTTGCTGGGATTTATAAGTTTAAAGCATGCCAGTAGCATTATCAAAAATGTCATAAGTTAAAATGAAGCCAGATTAGGGAGATAGCTTGTTACTGTCGATAATCGAATCTACAATACCAATGAACAATACCATGTGTTAAAGTCGAAATGATGGTGTGCATGTTCCACGTACAACATTTGGAGTGTTTGGGGGCGTTAGAATTGGCTGTGATACCGTTCTATCTTTGGCAGTCATTTGATGTCGATCTTTTTTCGACGGCGATCGTAGATATTTGTCTTTACGTTGACTCTTTACTGAGAGTATGTGATGGACAGTCCTTACTTCGTAACGTCATTGACAAGCGTCAGGTAGGGTATCAATAAGGACGGTGTGTTGTCATCTTTTCATTGGGTAAGTGATGGCAAGTAAGTGTGAAAGAGTCTGATTGTCTTGCCACTTACATCTGAGTCCAGGTTGTCTTTGCAATGCCTCAATCATGAATGTATTTAACGCTGTTTTCCACCTGTTGTTTCAGTTTATAATCGACGGCGTGGCGCGGCTGATGAACGTTCGCCATACCTTCCAAGAGTCTCCCCGAGATTGTACAACACCCAAAAAGACCTGGTCATCGTTTGTGGATAATCAGACTGACCAATCGGATCCGGAGTTAGCCTTTGCTCGAGTAAACCTTCTGGACACGGGAGGAGACTCCCGTTCAGATATCTATGGTGGAGATGGGTCTTCGCTTGGGGCGTCTCCTGCCCGCCAGATGGCGCGACAACCGTGCCCGATTTTGGAGCAGGTCAGCGGAATACGTGAACACATGGACAAGACGCGAGACGAGAAGAAAACCAAGGACACAACTGACAGCAATGTGCGCGAGTGGAGAGTCATTGCATGTGTGGTGGACAGATTGTTTTTTATCTTCTACGTTATTGTCAATGCCATCGGACTTATTGCAATTATACTGAGAGGTGTATTTGTTTGAGAGATAAGACAACGATTGAGATCTGGTTTTGTGAATACTACCAGTCGCACCAATTGCTTCCTGATGGTTGTATATGAGATATAACACAAGGTGATAATGTGATACCAGTGTCATCAGATTTATCGGTCGTATTTCTGAGTGGTGTTTTTGCTACAGTTAAGGCGATATATGACTTCATGAAATCATCGACCGAGTCGAGACTTCTGAAGGGTTGCTTGAGATGGAGGACACACTTGAACTGGACATGCCTGCTAATACCTGTGTTGTACAATTTGCTACAGCTGTGTGGTAGTAGCAACATTATGCAAAGTCACATCCATCTACATGTGCTATCTGTCCCCATACCCACCAGCATCATGCCGATATATCTACATGTATCTACCTTCATCAAGGTGTCTCTCACCATCAGCAATATCCACACAGCATCTCTCAATGCAGAAAAGTGCATCCGACCGAAGACAGCTGATGGTGTTATGCTTACAACACTTCCAGCTAGCAACCGTCTGATATAAGACACAGCGAAAAAAGTACTTACCTCAGAGTCTTTCCATTCATGAAAAAATGCTTTACGAAGATGACTTTTTAGGCCATCAGCAGCATGTCAAATCTCTCTGCTTGTCTCGAAATACGAACATGTTTCAACTGTCCACGGTATTCGAGTTAATGAAGTTTCACTGTACTTCTTTAACTTTCTGTAATTATCCTGGAATAATGCCAAACATCGATCATCAGCGTGTACTATATTTATCTGTGAATATTTGAGGCAAATCACTAACATATCCCCGCTGTATATACACCGAGCAACAGCTGTTTACTCCGTAGAAAAAATTGAATTGATTTAAGTCTGAGTAAAGATTTAGTAATTATGTTTGCCAAGTGTGATCATGGTGTAATGATATAATTTAATATTGATAAATCATCCTGTCCCTTTGATAGGTTCCAAAGTCCCCTGTAGAACGTCTGGCCAGTGTGGACACGGGCACCTGTTTGCTCCAACCCCTTTTCCCACATGTGTATACCATGTGCTACCCAGCATTCGTTTTGTTTACCCTTCTGTGCCCCAATATGACTTTTAAGTGAACAAGTGTATATTGTCCGATAGACCTTATCAAGATTTTGGTGTTTCAAATAGATGTGAAGATGATTCCCCCACATTTCATTCATGGAATTCTGTTTATGAAATGTACCAACATGTATGACCTAAAATATAGATGGAATGTTACATATTATCGTATTCGTCTTGACTTAATTCATATGCATCCTCAAAAATGTTCGAAGTTTGCTATTTGTAGTTACAGTATAGTACGGTTATAACGAATTCGTCGTAACTGTAGTCCCTTATATGCTTTTCGACTGAATACACAATAAGTCAGCATGTGGTCGGAACAAAAAGAACCAAAACAGCAATTTAGTTATAGTCGTGTTCGCTATGACCGTCTTTCACTGTATCTACAATTTGACAAACCGTCTCGCCACCTTGTGTACTGCTGCGATATCCGTGACGAGCACATTGCTTTGTTTTGCATTAATAGCGAAAGGAAAGAGGGAGTCTTGTGTCACAGATCTGCCTTTGTAATACCAATAATGTCTGTTTAATACTGTATTTTGTGACATATTCAGTATTATCTGGATATTTGCAGGTCATATTTGACAAAGTGTGCTGAAACATAAATACGCATAAACAAACATCTTTTGATGTCATCTTTGTTCCTGATTTCACAGAAACGACGTTTTGGTGATTGTGTTGCTTCTTCTGCTGGTATGTTGTTGTTTTGTTTGTTGAAATTGTAATTTATAGCTGAATGTTTGACACAAATGTCTGGAATTACTGATAGTGGCATACAATGGTAATAACGCATTACTCCTGTTACACATCTTTCTCATATTTTAAGGGAACATTTACCAGCATTACTGCCACAGATAGTGACGCAGAGAGTGACGTCATTCTGTCACTACAAGTAAGAACGACATGCACGCCAACTGCAGCATCAATTGTTAGGTAATGTAACAAAGGGTTTACAGTCATTGCAGTATAGAACTGTTAAGACAGTAACTAAGATCTTAGTAAAGCGTCTATAATCTGGTAACTTCCGAGGTCACCAGAAATGAGCTTCACTCATGAGATTACGTGGAAATACCAACACTCGGTAACAATGTACAGGAAACATTGTCATAAAGCAGAAGAGTTCCAGTGCTCTCTGAATCGTTATAATGAGGTAAAGTACATCATTAAATACATTTTGAATTTGACACTTCGGTTCGGCATTGCATTACCCAGATATCGAAACACCTCTGCACACATAGTTTTGTCTAATCATTGCCAGAAATCAATGCTTATCAAAGTCAGCGTCTTTATAGGTTTTGCGCTACGCGTGAGTCAAGCCTGAATTACGCTGACTCATAGTATGTCTATTTATAGACATGACGTTGGAGAGAGGAGAGATGAAAGGAAGAGCAGTATCACAACAAAGATCAGTATGATGATTGAGGAAGTATATCTGGAGTTATCACAAATTATGTTATGTCATAGTTCAAATTTATGTCCTATTGCATAACGTGTGACAGGGTGGCTGTTAACATTACAAAATCTTTCATTCATTTTATTTTAAATGAATGATACTACTAGGTTTTTGTAAGTTCTATCTCATTGTAACTTGCCATTCTAACGTAGGCTCAGTTTCAGTGCTGCTAGCATTTACATAGACATTTCAAAATCACTAATAAGAGCATATAAATAAATACCTTGTTCTATGTCCGTGCTATCAACCTACCTGTTCTGTCTCCCGGTGGCCTGGACTATACATAGACTGTTCTATCAGCGAGCTGCTAGTATATATACGGCCTGTTCTATCCCCGGTGCTCCCGGTCTTTACATAGACTGTTCTATCTGCGAGCTACTAGTATATATACGGCCTGGTCTATCATCTGCGCTTCAGGTCTATACATAGACTGTTCTATCTGCGAGCTACTAGTATATATACGGCCTATTCTATCTCCGGCGCTCAAGGTGTATACATAGACTGTTCTATCTGCGAGCTACTAGTATATATACGGCCTGTTCTATCTCCGGCGCTCCAGGTCTTTACATAGACTGTTCTATCTGCAAGCTACTAGTTTATATGTGGCTTGTTCTATCCAAGGCGCTGCCTGTGTATACATAGACTGTTCTATCTGCGAGCTACTAGTATATATACGGCCTGTTCTATCTCCGGCGCTCAAGGTGTATACATAGACTGTTCTATCTACAAGCTACTAGTATATATACGGCCTGTTCTATCTCCGGCGCTCCAGGTCTTTACATAGACTGTTCTATCTGCAAGCTACTAGTTTATATGTGGCTTGTTCTATCCAAGGCGCTGCCTGTGTATACATAGACTGTTCTATCTGTGAGCTACTAGTATATATACGGCCTGTTCTATCCCCGGTGCTCCCGGTCTATACATAGACTGTTCTATCTGCAAGCTACTAGTATATATACGGCCTGTTTTATCCCCGGCGCTCCAGGTCTATCCGTACACTGTTATATCTGCGAGCCACTAGTATATATACGACCTGTTCAACCGCCGTTTCTCCAGGTCTATACATCGACTTTTCCATCTGCAAGTTACTAGAATATATAAGCCCTGTTCTATCCCCGGCGCTCCCGGTCTATACATAGACTGTTCTTTCTGCGAGCTGCTAGTATATATACGGCCTGTTGTATCCCAGGCGCTTCTGGTGTATACATAGACTTTTCTATCTGCGAGCTACTAGTACATATACGGCCTGTTCTATCTTCGGCGCTACAGGTGCATACATAGACTGTTCTATCTGCGAGCTACTAGTTTATATGTGGCTTGTTGTATCCCCGGCGCTCCCCGTCTATACATAGACTGTTCTATGTGCGAGGTACTAGTATATATACTGCCCGTTCTGTCCCCGGCGCTCCCGGTCTATACATCGACTGTTCTATCTCCAAGCTGATAGTATATACACGGCCTGTTCTATCCCCGGCGCTCCAGGTCTATACATAGGTTGTTCTGTCTGCGAGCTGCTAGTTTATATGTGGCTTGTTCTATCCAAGGCGCTGCCTGTGTATACATAGACTGTTCTATCTGCGAGCTACTAGTATATATACGGCCTGTTTTATCCCAGGCGCTCCTGGTCTATACATAGACTGTTCTTTCTGCGAGCTGCTAGTATATATACGGCCTGTTGTATCCCCGGCGCTCCTGGTGTATACATAGACTGTTTTATTTGCGAGCTGCTAGTACATATACGGCCTGTTCTATCCCCGGCGCTACAGGTGTATACATAGTCTGTTCTATCTGTGAGCTGCTAGTATATATACGGCCTGTTGTATCCCCGGCGCTCCTGGTGTATACATAGACTGTTCTATCTGCGAGCTACTAGTACATATACGGCCTGTTCTATCCCCGGCGCTACAGGTGTATACATAGACTGTTCTATCTGCGAGCTACTAGTACATATTAGGCCTGTTCTATCCCCGGCGCTACAGGTGTATATATAGACTGTTCTATCTGCGAGCTACTAGAACATATTAGGCCTGTTCTATCCCCGGCGCTGAAGGTGTATATATAGACTGTTCTATCTGCGAGCTACTAGTACATATTGGGCCTGTTCTATCCCCGGCGCTACAGGTGTATATATAGACTGTTCTATCCGCGAGCTACTAGTACATATTATGCCTTTTCTATCCCCGGCGCTCCGGGTGTATATATAGACTGTTCTATCTGCGAGCTACTAGTACATATTAGGCCTGTTCTATTCCCGGCGCTACAGGTGTATACATAGACTGTTCTATCTATGAGCTACTAGTACATATTAGGCCTGGCCCCGATTTCTCGAAACAAACTTAAGTCTGAGTTTTGACTTAAGTCTGAGTTTTTACTCAAATTTGAGAAAACGCAGGAAAAAGTATTTCCCAGAATAAACTGAAATCAATATTGAACTCAAACTTAGCAGACAATTTGAGTTTGGTGGATAGATTACTTAAGTTGTTTGGGCTTTTTTTAGTTAAAAAATGCAGTTGAGTTAAAAATTCAGCTGTTTCAAATTGTCAAACTCAGTTTGAAATTTGAGTAAAAACTTAAGTTTGTTTCGAGAAATCGGGGCCTGTTCTATCCACGGCGCTACAGGTGTATATATAGACTGTTCTATCTGCGAGCTACTAGTACATATTAGGCCTGTTCTATCCCCGGCGCTACAGGTGTATATATAGACTGTTCTATGTGCGAGCTACTACTACATATTAGGCCTGTTCTATTCCCGGCGCTACAGGTGTATATATAGACTGTTCTATCTGCGAGGTACTAGTTTATATGTGGCTTGTTGTATCCCCGGCGCTCCCCGTCTATACATAGACTGTTCTATGTGCGAGGTACTAGTATATATACTGCCCGTTCTATCCCCAGCGCTCCTGGTCTATATATCGACTGTTCTATCTCCAAGCTGCTAGTATATACACGACCTGTTCTATCCCCGGCGCTCCTGGTCTATACATTGGTTGTTCTGTCTGCGAGCTGCTAGTTTCTATATGGCTGTTCTATCCGATGCTCTCCAGGTCTATACATAGACTGTTCTATGTGCGAGCTACTAGTATATATACGGCCTGTTCTATCCCCGGCGCTCCCGGTGTATACATAGACTGTTCTATGTGCGAGCTACTAGTATATATACGGCCTGTTCTATCCCCGGCGCTCCAGGTGTATACATAGGCTGTTCTTTCTGCGAGCGACTAGTATATATACGGCCTGTTCTATCAACGGCGCTCCTGGTCTATATATAGACTGTTCTATGTGCGAGCTACAAGTATATATACGGTCTGTTCTATCCCCGGCGCCCACGGTCTATACATAGACTGTTCTATCTGAGAGCTACAAGTGTATATGTGGCTTGTTGTATCCCCGGCGATCCCCGTATATACATCGACTGTTCTCTCTGCAAGTTACTAGTATATATTCGGCCTGTTCTATCCCAAGCGCTCTTGGTGTATACATAGACTGTTCTATCTGCAAGCTGCTAGTACATATACGGCCTGTTCTATCCCCGGTGCTCCCGGTCTTTACATAGACTGTTCTATCTGCCAGCTAATAGTATATATACGGTCTGTTCTATCCCCGGCGCTCCGGTTCTATACATAGACTGTTCTGTCTGCGAGCTACTAGTTTATATATGGCTTGTTGTATCCCCGGCGCTCCTGGTCTATACAGAGAATGATCTATGTGCGAGCTACTAGTTTATATATGGCTTGTTCTATCCCCGGCGCTCCTGGTCTATACATAGACTGTTCTATCTGCGAGCTACTAGTATAATATACGGCCTGTTCTATCCCCGGCGCTCAGGTCTATACATTGACTGTGATTGTTCTATCTTCGAGCTACTAGTATATATTCGGCCTGTTCTATCCCCGGCACTCCTGGTGTATACATAGACTGTTCTATCTGCGAGCTATTAGTATATATACGGCCTGTTCTATCCCCGGCGCTACGGGTGTATATATAGACTGTTCTATCTGCGAGCTACTAGTACATATTAGGCCTGTTCTATTCCCGGCGCTACAGGTGTATACATAGACTGTTCTATCTATGAGCTACTAGTACATATTAGGCCTGGCCCCGATTTCTCGAAACAAACTTAAGTCTGAGTTTTGACTTAAGTCTGAGTTTTTACTCAAATTTGAGAAAACGCAGGAAAAAGTA